GGCATGAACGGAGTGAGCCGTTTCAACATCCACCGTGATTACGGCAACAAGGATCGTCTCCCAAGCTCTCATACTTGTTTCAACCGTAAGTACACCAGCAATGTCCGGGAATATCTATATGGTACAGCTTGCTAACTATGTGGCACAGAGCTGGATCTTCCAGAATATGAGAGCTACGAAACATTACGGCAACGTCTTTACACTGCGATGACGGCTGGCAGTGAATATTTCGGGTTTGCATAAAATGGTGGCGCTAATATCCCTTATTGCGTAAATGATGATTTGAGGGGTAACCCACTCTCACTCGCAGTGTCCTTGACTCAATGCTGAAGCATATTATGGCGTTTGACACATCTTCATTTTCAGCTAGTTTGTACCTTACCAAAGGCATGGGGGGGTTGTGGTAGGAAATGGACCGCAACCGGCAGACCAGTTGAAGTGCAGGTCAACTGGAATGCCGGGGATCGGTTGAAGGATTTCCATTTTTTCTATGTTTTACTTTGCAAATTGCAGCAGCATGTACTTTCTTCAGCTATGTGTCAATTACTTAGAAAATTCCAGTCAATGTTCTCGTTCTTTCACCCACTCTCAACACTCTTCATCCAGCCATCGATGCGCGGTTAGTCAGCCGGGTGCTTCTCCGTAGTCTGGAGGCGGTGAGGGACGGTGGATCCGGGGAGTCACGGGATGCAACTTTTTTCTGCTGGGCGAAAAAGTCACCTGCCGGCGGGGCATCGGCTCGAATCTCAACTTCTTCAATCCGCTGCTCTCTCTCTCCGGTCGATGGGCGTTTCCTATCTCTCAGGCATGCTAATTCCTGTTCTCTAACTTCTTCTTCATTTTCTCTCGATAACCATATCAATCTCCCCTCTACACCTGTCCGGTTCCCCGCGCCGCTCTACCTGAACCCCTCCTCCGGTTTCTCTTCAATCTCCCAAAATGGCTTCGAACTCGATCAAGCTCTTGACTGGTAACAGTCACCCTGAGCTTGCAAACCTCGTGGCAGCTCGGTATGCGCTATAGTTCTGGACTATTTCTGCACCCTTGCAGTACACCATGGACTAACGAGCCGTTTCAATTGACAGGCTTGGCATTGAATTGACCAAGATCATGGTCCTCCAATATTCGAACCAGGAAACCAGTGTCACAATCGGAGAGAGTGTACGAGATGAGGATGGTATTGTTGTCCACTCCGCCTGCTCAGACTCAGGCCCGCAAAAGATCTTGGGTTAATGTGTGCACCCTGCAGTTTTCATCTTGCAGTCGACGCGGCCCAATGATATCAACGACGGACTAATGGAGCTGCTCATCATGATCAATGCTTGCAAGACCGCCTCCGCAAGACGTATCACGGCCGTCATTCCCAACTTCCCTTATGCGCGCCAAGATAAGAAGGATAAGAGCCGTGCTCCTATCACCGCCAAGCTTATGGCAAACATGCTCCAGACTGCTGGTTGCAACCACGTCATCACCATGGACCTCCATGCCAGCCAGATCCAAGGCTTCTTCAACGTTCCCGTCGACAACCTGTATGCCGAGCCTAGCATACTGAAGTGGATCCGCGAACACTTGGATGTGAGCAACTGTATCATTGTCAGTCCCGATGCTGGTGGTGCTAAGCGGTAAGTGAATTTGATTCTGTTGGGTGCTTGATATATTGCAAGACGATATTAATGGGCAATTCTGAACAGTGCCACTGCCATCGCCGATCGCCTCGATCTTCAGTTCGCGCTCATCCACAAGGAGCGCCCCCGCCCCAACGAGGTCTCGCGCATGGTTCTCGTTGGTAGCGTCAAGGACAAGATCGCTATCATCGTTGATGACATGGCTGATACCTGCGGTACTCTCGTCAAGGCCGCCGATACTGTGATGCAGCACGGAGCTAAGGAAGTCAACGCTATCGTCGTCCACGGTATCCTTTCCGGCAAGGCTACTCAGAACATCAACAACAGCTGCCTCAGCCGTGTTGTTGTGACCAACACTGTTCCTCACGAAGACAAGAAGGAGCAGTGCGATAAGATCGAGACGATCGACATCAGCCCCACTCTTGCAGAGGCCTGCAGACGTACGCACAACGGCGAGTCTGTGAGCTTCCTGTTCTCGCACGCTGTCGCCTAAACGACTAGTAAGGGCACATGGCAGTGATGGAGGACAAGATGGACATGCCGCTACCTGGAGGCGGTTCACATTTGCTTTTTCTTTTTTTATTATTGTCGTGCGTAGTCGGATACCTCTAGGAGGGCCTAGATCATGAAATTAGGACTCTTTAGCCACGGAATTCCCGGGATAGGCGCCTCCGTCTGTCAAACTATATTTAACGCATTTACCGGTTATGAAGCTTATGGACCTTTGAGAAGGTGAAAAGGAAGGGAGATATGAAAAAGTCGGCGGCGCCTTTTTTGCTTTCTATTACCAGCTGAATTGAAGCACTTATATTGTACATATATCAACGGTTCTCTTCTGTTTTTTTTTCTCCCCTTGGTCGTCTTCATACTGATGATGTACTATTTTTTTTTATTGTGAGCGGATCACATGTGAGATTTACTGATATAATAGATTGCCATCTGAATTGAATCCCGTCCTACACTTTAAATATAGATATAGTGACGATGGAAATACCGTGATTCAAAAAAGCACTGCATGAACTTACCGGTACAGAAACTACGAATTAAACATTCACAGTCGTCAATTTAACCTCGGCGATATCAGCTAGTAATAGTGAAATGCCCACGGGCTAGCCCTAAATCGATCCTACTGCAAGTCGTACATTCAGTTCCGAGATTTATATTTCCGGCTCTAATCAGTACTAGTAAGTAAGTAGTAGTCGGACTTGTCAGCATGCTATCCATCCATCCAGCCATCCCTTACTGATCAGGTGCACTAATAGGTATGCTTGCTTTTTTGCACTCTAATTTTGACTATATGCCTTGTATATGTACCTATGGTGGGACTTTTTGGGCTCCTTAAAAGAAACTAGTACTATGTTACCAGTAGTAGCTTCACAATACAAAAGTTTCCTGATGATGAAGGGTATGGGGCGGGAAAAGTTTCCCGGAGTAATTAATAAATAATACGGTGGGCGAGGCGGGGGGTTTTGGCTTCTTATCGTCGCGTTGATTGTTTCTTTTTTCTTGGTGGTTGTATTTTACTTGGCTGGGAGATTATTGCTATTACTAGGTTTAGTGCGACTTACTGCTGTAGAGCTAAAATAGGGTGTGTTTATTTTTCTTGAAGAGGACTATATTACTACTAGTACTGATAGTATCGAGAGTCAGGGGATTCTATGTATATATAATATGTATGATATCAATCAAAAGCTCGACATATGTAACATAGTGAGTAGTAATGGATGAGTAGAAATATGCACCAACTGAGTGTCTATCTAGAGCTGATGAGATGATGAGAAAAATAAGTTCTATTTGCTCACTGCGTTGTCTTGAGGAGCTTAGATTCATCATACGCTTGTTAGGTTTATATATCTCATTCTTAATCCTCGTATACTGAGTTTTAGTGTAGGTTTTTAAATTGTGGGATTGAATGCATTGGATACTCAGTAAGTGGTAAGCTTTATTGTTTCTCTATTGATGCTGTATTTATTTAGTTGTGAGACAATGGGTTTGGTGGCTGATTTGATTGTTTCTTTTGAAAAGTCAGTACGCTGGCAGTAAAACTATATCAAAGTTTAGTATTACCGTCTTGCTGTAATTAATAGATTTATTAGTAGGTAGTTAATTGTTATGGATTGGGGGGAATGATAATATTTAAAGACATATGATGCTGTGTTAGTATCTTGTCCTTCTACATTCGGGACTATATACTACGTGATGAATAGTACTTAGTTGGGTGATACGGTCTTCATGTTCCTAATTTGTAGTACTAAGTAGTGATAATAGTATTAACATATCTTCCTGCTATTAGTAATTAGCTCCGTAAAGATACTAGATGGGTGTTACTACTACGAGGGGGGGGTTGACTTCACCTGCCTAATAGTAGCTCTAATGTCTATTATAGTATTAGTACTTAGCACTAGATGCCTGTGCCTGTGCCTGAAAGTATACATTTTGCACAGTTGGGTGGCGGAGGTTTGACTCACCGGTCTATGTAAGTAGATTTATACGGCCATGATGATGACAATTGATCAGAAATGATGAACGCACTATATACATCAAGACATAAAGTGGGATTGTGTGAGTTTGGCCAGACCTGCAGTCATAATAAGTGGTGTGTGTCTGTGTCTATTGTCTGTGTCTACTCCGCACTTGACTAACGATCGCTAGTTAGTGGGATCTTGGGTTAAGAATTGTGGGTACACAAAAAAAAGTACTGACCACACAATAATCCACTGGCTGGGCTACATTGGGACAATTTTAGGTTTTACCACAGTAGGGTCCAGAAATCACACTACGCAAGGGAATAGATAGAACCAAAAAGAAAAGAAAAAAAAAAAACACCAACTGAAATTTTGGAATACAAAAAAGTTTCATTTCATTCACAAGCAGCGCACATAAGAGAGAAGAAATCATCTGCGGAGAACCGGAGTCCATGGGTATGTCTTTTTTTAAACTCGTGCCAGGGAAGGGGAAGGGATAATGGTCGCAAGGCCATCTAGAATAAAAAAGTGTGTAAAGAACAAAAACGAAGAAATTCTTTCACATTTTTTAATCCCTTTCATTTCCATAAAAATTGTGGAGAGATATAGCATTTCCTTTTTTGGTTTTGATGTGTTGGTGGATCAGACAATATCGGCACGCCAAAGTCTCTCGGTCCGCTGCAGACGCCTTCTCTCCTCTCTCTCTCACGATATCTCTCCCTCCCCAAACCAAGGAGCTTTTTGTTCTTGGGTCGCTCTGCTTCGGAACTCGAAGATAGGAAAAGAGAAAATGGGTGGATATAAAAAAAATCCCCCTTCCCATTTGCTTGAGATTCTTTCTATAATACCCTTTTTCCCTTAGCTAGAACAGAGACGTAACCCGACCATTAACCCCCGCGGACAAACACATTTACTTCCTCATCGAAGACGCTCTCCGCTTGCGGAGCTCATCACGCTTGGCCTTCTCCTCGTGGACACGGCTGGCAAGGAGCTTGGCGTAGTCGTTACTGTATTGCATGCATGATTAGCGGATGTCCTGTTCATACATTTGGGTGCATGTCCCAACAAAGGGGAAAAAGGTGCACTTACGCAGCCTCGCGGGCAGCCTCAGCACGACGGCGCTTGAGGGCAATGCGCTGGCGCTTGCGCTGGAGACGCTGGGGAGTAACCAGACGCTGGATCTTGGGGGCCTTGGTGTAGTCGGGCTTGCCCTCACGGGTGACGGTACGACGGATGACGAACTTGCGGACGTCGTCCTTCTTGTCGAGACCGAAGAAGCGGCGGATCTTGGTGGCACGCTTGGGGCCGAGGCGCTTGGGGACAACGGTGTCGGTGAGACCGGGAAGCTCACCCTCACCCTGCTTGACGATGCTCAGGGCAAGAACAGCGAGGTCCTGACCGGTGATGGCTGTAAACACGAAGCGTCAACGGATCAATTCGGAGGATAATAACGGATGTATTGTTGTTTGGTAAAACCTACCACCACGGACGGACTTGCGCTTGCGCTCACCAGTGCGGCGGGGGCGGTAGCAGCTGCAGCGGACATCAGTCTTCCATTTCGTAAACTCCATTATCGGCAGGTCGCATTTACCTGTGGCCATCGGCAAGGAGGAGGCGGGTACGGGTGGGGAGGAGAACTGCACACAAAATCGATGAGTTTCTGCTGTGTTTTTGTCGGATTATAATGGCGTTGGTCGGTACATACCACCCTGCTTCATGGGGAAACCTGTGAAGAGCGTCAAAGTCAGCATCCAATGTTCATTCTTAACCATGATATTCCAAAGATTCTTGTTCGTATTCGAGTCCTCCTAGTCGAGCCCAAATCCGAAATAACAGGGGAAAAGCAATCCAGTCGTACCTTGCTTGTCGTTACCACCGGTGATCTTGAGGATGTAACCCTTGAACTCGTCACCGAGAGAGTCGCCGGCAACCTATAGCAATAAAAGAAACCCCAATCAGTCTTCTGCTTTTCCCATAATTTTGCGTGTATTTCTCATTTTTCGTCTCTTTTCCAACTCTGGTGTTTTCGGGGGGCGGATATCCAAGGGGGGAGGGTTGCTGACTTCGGTTCCCATGCGCTTCTCCATGAAGGGACGGAGCTTGCGCTCATCGTCAACCTCGATGATCTTCTGAGACCCATTGGCCGGGTAGGAGATGTTGAGCTTCATCTTGACGGGTCTGCGCGGTCAAGACGGAGGGCGCGGTTTGTCGACAGGTCGAGGAGGTTCAGGTCGTCGGGGATTCGTTCTTCGTGGGATTTTTTTGGTGGTGTAGCGAGATTTCCCTGTGTGGGCGGCTGACTAAGTCCACTAACCCTTCTGGACTTAGCGTCCTCGGTAGGGCTCTTATGTCAGCACTCCCGGCACCTGACTTGCCATCTTGCCTTTTCGGGAACTACGAGGCTAGGCCTGTGTAGGCTTGAGGATACCATCAAATTGTTGTGATATAAACAGACTCTAAGGTTTTGCTTACGCGCTGATGCTCGTATTCCATGATGCACCTACTTGAACCAAAAGATAGGTTAAGGTTCTATCCTTAAAGCGGAAGTAGGTATTAGGTCACCTGACCTTCGTGTTATCCCTGCGTGTACACAGTAGGCAAATTTGGGGTCAAATATCTCCAACAGATCGGAATCTTCCATATCTATGTCTGATGACCATACATGTCTCTGATCGCGACCTTATGCATCCAACAGTCAGCAGCTGGAACAGTCTATAGTCCATGATCAGTAGTAAAACCCCTAAACTTGCGTTAAGTAGAGTGCCTCCTAAGCTTCAACAAGGCGAACCCGGGGAGCCACCGTGTTGCGTCTTAGGTGCCACATCTCTCGTCATGTAGGCCTTTCTCCGGGCTGCCTTTCGTTCTTGGATACTCCGGACTCTGTCCTGCAGCCTATAATGCAACACATGTAGGCTGATGTGTGCGCCTGGGGCTAGACACTGAAAGGGTGCACATGCTATCATTATGCAGGACGTTTTCGAGAACATGAACTCTTCATCATAACGAGCTTATTGTCCCAAGTAAGTAATTGATGCCATCCAGGGGTTAGTTATAGTCAACCCCTGAGCGTCTCGGCGATAGGGATTAGTAGATCTAGTCAGTCAATCAGGTGCCGAACTGGTCCGGGTCGGAATCACAACGACCAGCAAAGCTTGGAAGGAGCTTCTTCGAAGTGCGTCTTCATAAGTTGCAACCAGAAGTTCGAGAAGCCCCTGATTTATAGGAAAAAAGATATGGTTATGGAGGGTGTTTTCGCTGACTCGGATTTAGTTGCACATTGCGTCCTTCCGTTCCCGACAGCCAAAGACGGGAGACCAATCCGGATCGAGTTGGGCTGTTCGGAAGGTCGGAGTCTAAAGCTGGCAGCCTGTCTTGGAGAGGCGCCCCCCCCGTTATCTATTAATGGTTGATTATTGATTGATTACTACCCACCACCAAAACTGCGCCTTCGGTAGTAGATACTAGATAGATAGATAGTGGCCGAGGAGGGGTGTTGTTCATGACATCCCAGTAAGGGGGTTCAGGGAAACATGACCGCCATTTCCGACAGACGTTCGTTGCTGATTCGATGACATTTCTATTGCTGGAACAGAGAAATGTCCACGAGGGCAGGCCAGTGAGATCCACTGATGGAGACTTGGCCTTGTACAAAACCGCCTCTTCCAAGCTCGATGGAGTCTTGGGACTGACGCAAAAGACCCAGAGCACGCGACTGGTTACCGTTCCGACGTCGCCGCGCGGCCACTGCCAACGTCCGAGAGGCCAGGACAAGAACAGCCTTACGGCAGATGCAAAGATGGCCACAAGCGCGCTATCGTAGTGGACAGGTCAGGGAACATTTTCTGCTTCCTCACCCATCTCTCGCACTGTTCGGTATTGTCTCCTTTTTCTTGTTACTGCATCCGTTCCCCTCAGGTTCTCGTTTTCATCCGACTGACAGAGTTCTCCAGTCAAGTCCCCACTCTGGCGCCAACCATCCCCATCGCACGCTATTAGCCTCTCCTCTTGCACGGTACTGCCGGAGGTCATCCTGTCTTTTGTGCTTCTGTTAGGGGAAGAAGTTCTTGCTTGATCTCGCCGCAGATCACTACGTACGGCGTCTCCGTCTTATCTCATTCCCCCCCCTTTCCCCGTTGTTCGGTTTCTTCTCGTTTTCCTTTGGTCAAACGTATACTCTCAGCATCGTTGTGTGCAACCGCGCAACAAAGAGTGCCGCCGATCGCCCCCAGCGTTTATCGGCTTCGCCTGCGAAGCCCAGCGGCTTTCGCTGTCTCGCCTCCGCCCTTCGTATCCGTCCTTTATGCCCGGACCCAATGCGCCTCTTTAGCAAATTTCACGCGGTCTGCGCCTTGGCTGTGTGCAGCATTCTCCTGTCAGCCTCCTTTCTCGCCTCTCAGCATTACTATCGTCGGGTAGTCTTGACAAAAGAGCCTTCGTCGGATTTCCGCGCCACGGCATCTTTCGACCGTCGCCTAGTCGTCTTTGGTGACTCGTGGAGCGATAACAATGCAGCCGAGCTTCAGGGATCTGTATGGACGGACTGGCTTTGTAACTCGGTGAGTGTGAAAGCTACTTGGCTGGATCAAAGTGGCAAGCTAATCTCTCGGCCCAGTTCTCATGTCACCATGAAAACTTAGCAGAGACAGCCAAGTCTCTGAGAGGAAACTACATTGGCTCTGTGGTGGATAACACGGAGCTGTCGGGTTCCTTACTCAACCTCTACAAGTCTCCATTGGCGGATTTGAAAGCTCAGGTCGCCAATTGGATTGCGGCGGAGACGGAAGCCACGAGAGAGATGGATGCGACTGCGGTTGGCATGCGTCAGAATCGCACCATCGTGGTTGTCTCGTTTGGTGTATGGGACTTGTGGAACGTAATGCCAAAGACGTACGAGGACGCATCCCATGCAGTCGATCGCAATATCAAAGTCATTATGGAGGAGCTGGATTTGCTGGCCGAGACATGGGGCGGCAATGACCTCAAGATCATCCTGACATTAGCACCAGATGTAACCTTCCTGCCGGCCTATAGAGCGCAGGGGCAGCCGCAGATTACCAAGCACAAAGATGCCGTGAGGATCGCAGACTATTGGAACGGAGAACTCCGCAATAATGCCGAAGATTGGTCGAACGGCACGATTTATTTGTTCGACACCAACTCTTTTCTGGCCGACCAGATTCGCGACTGGCAACTCTTTGCCGCAGGGATCGAAGAAGAGAGTGGATTGGGGAAGAACGAGGATCCCGGTTGGGAGAATGTTGAAGACGCATGCGTCCAAAGCAGCCAGCAATGGATGGTGACGTCAGGCGCGCAACAGTGCGACCGTCCGGAGAAATTTCTGTTCTGGTAAGGACAAGGCATTATGATTGGCGCCCATTGACTTGATCGAGTGCTGACCGTATCATTTTCAGGAACGATATGCACCTTGGCCCCTCAGCGCATAGGCTTCTGGGCGCGGAAGTGTTCCATGGAATCGAAGAGATGTGGCTCCGATGAATTTCCCTTTAACATCAAGATAAGAGACCAGAGAAAAGAAAAAAAAATTCTAAAAGCGCAACCGATGAGGTCTTACTATTTTTTCATTACCTCTTGAGACGTAATTTCGCCAAGGACAGGATGGAGGAAACCTGTTCTGTAGATGATTAGACACCAGCCGCTTCCCGGGACCATCAAACGCTGACGAACGGCACTATCAAATAGCGGCCTGCTTCTATTATCTCCATTGCGCCTGCTTTTCCGATTATTTGACTGGTCTCTAGGCGATGTATCAATAGGTCTGAGACCATGTCTTTCTCCCCGCACCGAGACTGGATGAGTGAGAGGAAAGAGTTTGTACTGGGGGAGCACAACTGTTTCGAATCACGAGAGGTTTCAGGTCGCTACCAAACAAGGACCGAACGGGGGACTGGCCAGAGTGGTATGTCTTATTGAGAATGAGCACGGAAGTCAGGCTGCCTCATCCGGAGACGGACGATTGTAACGTGATGGCGGTGGAAGGTGGAGCAGGGATCGGAATGCGATCGCCACAGGGTAGATCGATCCGGTCTCCAGCCTGGAAATGGGGACACCTGCAACATCAACGTGTCAATGGAGACCCGTGAACCTTTCTGATGGATCGGGGGAACTACGGATCAGACTTTGGGGAGGTAAAGAATAATGGAACCTGACCGGACCCTGTGGAAAGTCCCCCTTTGAAGGATGGTTGGGGAAAACAGCAGGGGTAACGGATGGCGCGGATGGTGCTGGTGGATGGAGTTTGCTGGTGTCGGTGGTAAGTAAGAAGAGTACGGAGTAGTAAGAAGTAAGTAGTATCCATCCAGTGTCAGTTTGCCAAATCGGGCTGTCCGTTCTTTTCCCTGTTTTGCTTTCGGTTCTTTTTTTTTTATTTGCTTCTTCTCTTTCTCTCTTTTTTGACTCCTCTTTCCTTTCATTCGGTGCTGACTGTTAGTTTCTTTGTCTCCGAAGAGGATCGGCCTGCTGTCATGGAAGCCTCGGGAAGTTCTGTCATTAGCCAGGAGCTGTCCTGGATAAAAAGCACCTTTGCATTAGATGGAGGAGAGTGGTGGAGGTGGAGATGGCGGAATTCCGATACCGCCACCTGGAATGTATGTATTACACCATAGGAGCCATGGCCACGATCGCTGTTTTCCTCTTGAATACATGGTCCGAGCAAGTAGAGAGGAATGGGGAACGACGGAGTTCAGTACCCAGTGTAGATTAGTGGGTATCAAACTTCCAGGAACTACTACCTCAGAGAGCCAAGCAAGCAAATCAAGCACGTTCAGTTAGTTCAAGTAGGTAGGTAGTAAGTAGTAACCAAACGATACTTGCGAGGGAGCAAGCAAACAGCAAGCAGCCAGCAGCAAACAACAAGTACCTTCAAAGTACCACCTAGGCAGCCGAGTAGGGTACTACTACTACTGTAGAAGGCTAGTGGTGTGCGTGCCAGACCGTGGTAAAGCAAAGCAAGCAGGATGATGCTGGCGAGAAATTAGACGGATTGGAAGACAATCAAATCCATTTGCGCATGTGTCACATTGGCGGTGGGCCAATTGCCAGGCCCGGTCGGGCTCTGTGGATCGCTAATTGGTCCCAGATCACTGCAGCACACCGCATGCGGACGCCGAACAGACAAAGGAAAGCTAAAATGGCTCCAGGATTGAAACAATAAACCTGTATAGCAATCTCTAAGCAACTAGTCGATTAGTGTGGTGGCCCTTCTTGACTAGGGAGGGTATTGAGAGGGAGGGGAGGGCAGAAGGTAAAAAGGTAAAACAACTAGGTAACTTAGGTCCCCAGGTTTAACTAGTAACCAGCTTTCCGGGTAGCTATGACTTACTAAAATGTGTATTATTATCCAACTGCCCAAACATATTAAATGATGTCCCAAAACAAAAGGCAATCAATCATCCAGAATGAGCTCTGGAAGGGCCCATTTCTTACCCCTACTGCTGACTCACCTGGAAAGAATAAAACAAGAAGAAGAAGGAGAGGTTCACATTCAGGTTGTTGCTTTTCTGCTACTACCTCTCCAAGTGCCCACTTAGTCTCTCTCGCCCTCTGGCTCTCTTGCTTTTCCAGTCCTTGGGTACCTTTGGTTGGGGGGGTTCATCCAGGGACAAGTGAGTACTAAGTAGTAGAGTCAAGTCAAGGTACCTCTCTTCCTCCGCCCCAGTACAACACCGCACCACCCGATGAAAGGTACCATGATGATACGTCCTTCCCAACCCGGGAGGTTTCCTCACTTTGAGGTTCCATCACATCTCTCTGAACAGCTGTCTCTGGTGGGGATAATGTCCCCTCCCAACCGAACGAAGGACTCGGGTCATCCTGACAGGGACAAAGAAACTAAAAAGCCCGGGATTTTTTAGTCGTAGTCAAAGGGAGGGGCGCCAGACCGAAGGGCCCCAAAGATAGCTTTCCATAACAAAGCACTTGAAAAGCCAAATCCTGGCTTTATCTCACTGGCGTCCCCTCGGCTTGGTTGGCTCGGCCTGAATGGAAATATCATTTCATTGTCAAAGAACGAGGAGGCAGAAAAAGGAAGGCAGAAAAAGAAAAGAAAATTACCAGCAGTGAGGACACCCCTGACGCCTTCAAATAATAATTCAGCTGGATATTATTATCAGCATTCTTCTTCTTATTATTATTATTATCGTCTTTTCTTCCTAATTATTATCATTCGACCCTGAACTGAAAAAATAAAATCTTCCACGCCAAAGACACCAACAGAGACGGCCACTCGATTGGAAAAAGAAAGAAAAGACAGGAAAAGAAAAGAAAGTATTAACAACAGCCAGTTTGGAAATACCCGGTGCAGCACGAGGAGAAACTCATTCGTCTCGTTGACTATAACTATAACCTTATATTGGGGCTTTCTTTCTTTCATCCACTTGTGCAGCGTCCGCCCATTCAAGGGCCACGGCTCCCTCTATAACCTCGATTTCTCACCCACCATCTCGCAGACTTTCATTATTCATTGCCCGCCATTTTCCTTTCAGTCTGCTGGTTCATCCACTTCTCTGTCCCCCCAAAAAGCCCTTTGCTCTTTACTCCATAAAATAAATGTCATGTCTTACGATCGCGTTCTGCCCAAGCCTCCTCTTCTACACCATGACAGCTCTCACCATCTTCCCCTGTCACGGCCTACTAGTAACCTCCTCGAGCATAAGATCATGAATGACGACGTCGCGAAAGTGTCCATGATGGACCGTCATCTAGACACTGCTGCTCTGAGTGGTCATCGTCGATTCACTGACACACTGCCCCCGGTGCATCTGACCACTCTGAATCGAAGCAAGGTAGCTCTCAACAAAGTCGCCTCCAACGCTGCCTCTGCTATTGAGGTCCCGAAGTCCGCGAATCTTCTACCTACCAAGGCTATACCTCTTCGTGAACGCTCGTCTTTGTCGGAACGGTCGTCGTCATCTAGTCCAATCAAGACGTCCAATACTCCCACCCCAAGGGAGTCGGCAACACAGTTCTGCCTCTGTCAGCCGGATCCGAAGATCCCTAGGCCCCGGAATGGTATGCAATCTGAAATCTACTCTATTTGCTTCTTGAGCTGACAAACAGGTAAAAGCATTCATCCTATACCGCCAACATTACCAGGCTGCAGTGGTCGCGCAGAATCCAGGCCTTGCCAATCCTGAAATCTCCAAAATTATTGGGGAACAATGGAGAGGACTACCACAAGAGACAAAGGATGAGTGGAAAGCGCTGGCAGAGGTAAGCACATCATTGCTATGAGACTCTCAAGCCACCTAACCCTTAACAGGAGGAGAAAGCTCGGCATCAACAACAATACCCAGAGTATCGCTATCAACCTCGTCGCTACGGTCGGGATGGGAATCTCCGGAGTGGAGCATCTGGCATCAGCCATAACCCTCCAGGCTCTACAGTCTGCAGCCGATGTGGAGGCCGTGTGATGAACCCTCCAGTATCACCAGAGACTCCTTATACACCCAGGGCCTCCTTTTTCGGCGGAAAGTCGGCACCTGGTGAAGTCTTCTCAGCACGCAGTAGCCAGTGTCGAGCCAAAGATCTAGATCGTGCTCCTAATGTCATCAAGCTCATCCCTAGCGGAAATGGGGAGTCACGCATGCCTCGCCAGCACTTTGTGGAAAGCAGAAGCCGATCACCAGATAGTAAGCGCAGGCGGTTGGGACCGCTTGGTCCTTACGACATCCGTGAAAGAAGCCCGGATTCTTCGTATCCTGCATCTCCATACACACCTCGCTCGGCCGTAGCAGACTCACGAGGTCTGTACCAGCCGCTACAGCAGCCACGGCCCGGCCGAAATGTCAAGGAGTATACCCCGCCGGATCCCAGCTTGAAACTTCCACCGCTACAAACAGCTGCTCATGTTCCCGGGACTATCACCCCAACGACTCCGTATTCGCATGATGGGCCTAGCATCGAAGCCACGGTCATGACAATCCCGTTCCTCAACAAGATAAAGGTCCTGGCTAAGATCTCCCCGCCCTTAACGCCAGCATACCATGACGGATCTTCGTTCCGACGCGGGGCTGTGATTGCTGTGGATGGACAAGATCCCGTTCTGGTCAAGATGATGGTCGAATTTTTGAACAACACATTGCAGAAAGAGGGCAGATATCTCACTCGGGTTTTCGGAGGGCCTGAGATTCGGTCTCGTGAGAGCTATTCCGAATCCGAGCAAATGGGTGATGCAACTGTCGACTATCTCAACATCATCTCCTCCTGGCACCGCATCTCTGACGAAATAGTTAGCTTCGTGAAGCCTTCACGAGCATCATCGGAGCCAAAGTCCGTCGACGAAGAATCTACGCCAGGAGTGTCGCCGCGGACTATTATACCCAAGACTGCTGAATTACAAATCAACTCTCCAGAGCAATCCAGCGACAACAGCTCTGTGTCGACAGTCTCTACCGGAATGGGCTCCATTACGATGCCGGTGCCTGTCGCGCTTGTTCCACGGTACCAACTAACGACTGCGGATGCTTTTGCCTGCTCCGTCCCCATCGGGGATTCGTATGCACCACTTGACCACTGGCAGTGGATGGCATCTCTGTGGCGGGCGTGCGTAGGACCGGACATAACCGTGTACATCCGAGAATGCGAGAAGGACGAACTAGAGCGTCTTGGAGGTAACCCCGTGGAAGTTCGTCTTCATGATGCGCGAACCATTGTGGTTCGAAGACTGACTTCCTCATCGAGTGAACTGGAGGAGAAATCGCTTAAGAGAGTCGGCTTCGAAATTGAGGATTTTCTCACCCAATGAGCTTGTAATATGATCCTACCCAAAACTTGCCAGCTTTGTCAGGCTCGCATATTTTCTTATTTTTCTTGTCTTTTCTTGACAATCTTCTCCGGACATATGGGGGTTCTACACTTTCATAAATTGCCTTCCTTTTTTTTTTTATTACACTTCGATTTCACTTTTCTAGGCTCTAGCCTATTCTGCGGGGGTTCTGTCTGGTTCGGGGTTTTGTGGCTAGTGAAAATGGGAGGCTATTCTTGTAGATTTACTTATCAGCTCCGGATAATATATGTATGTCTGTAATCCGTCGACAATGTTGTTTCTACATACCGACGTTATGCACGAAGGCGCAGACATCATTGCTTCTATCTTAACACTTGACAAGACTTACTGTAATTTTGCATGCCATACAATTTAGTGAGAGAAACGACCCGATGCAGCCGGCCATCAATAACACTCCCCCATAATCCAAGACAATCCACATTGCTGCCTAAGGCCTCAAGAAAGCTCCTAATATAACCTAAATCGGTAAAGGGCAGGGCGGTGACCATTACAGACCAATCACAGGCGAACCATGGCGATGATTGCCGGCTTATCGGGATACCCTGGAATGCGCGATGCGATGAATGAGACTGTAGCGCATTCCCTTCACTGGACATGTCTTCTGAAGGGCGAGCAGGTCGATTTTATGCGCTGCGCTAGCTTACCCCGGAATTTGAATTTCTATCCTGTGGAAATCCTCACCACGACCGAGTCTGATCGAATGCATGGGCTGCCCGCTAAAGGCTATCGCCTCTTCATGCAGCCTCCGTGACGGCAAAGGGGCACAACGACAGATCCTATACGGACGATATGTTGGCGACTGATGACGACATGATACATAATTATACTGCGGTTTCCGGAAATATTGCTCCTGGAGTTAAGCAGGTATGTTGTATGGACTTGTGTGAGAATAGCATTTGATTTACATTGCGCTGGATGTCTGCTTCGCGAAACTGCCCGTTTCTGTTAACAGGCTTAATGCTCATTTATTGCTTCAATTTCTGCAGACCCAAACTACTGGATTAAGCTGTGCCATGGCTGCGAAAGATGATGATGCTCTCAACTCGACCGGGCCTGATTCTTCCGCGGAAACTACCGTAACTACGGTTTCTACGTCCACGCCTGCAACGCCTCAATCGGAACACATTATATTGTCGAAGCCTGTCGCAGGGGATACTCAGTCTGGGAAAAGCGAGGCCACCCAAAACTTGGATAACTATATCGGTGTTGGTGTTTTGAGAAGGCGCAATGGGAGTTACGATAACGGATCCGCAGCCCCTGTCGAACCGGATAACTTTCCGGCATCGGAAATCGCGGCTTTGGAAAGAAGTAGATGGATATGGACTGAGGCGATAGCATCCGGGGAGAATTCGTCGTGGTGTGGTGTTCGCGTCTATGTGTTGCCTGACGACGTCGGGCGCAAGTCCATACCGCGGTCGAGCACAGCATTGAGGCGCGCACTCAAGGCAGTCATGATGAGGATTGACAGATCAGATGAAGCATGGAACAGAAGTGAACATGTAGATCTGAAGGCTGCCGATGACCCTGTGGGTAGTCTTGAGGACGAGTCTCTTTGGTATATCTTCAATACGCTTCAGGATCCAAAACCCCAGTTGGATAGTATGAGGAATGCGTATGCGAGAAGAGCGATGCGGGAGCTACTTACAGTAACTGCGCATGGAGAGGAAGAATCAGGCCAGGATTTCTCTGGGGTGCTGGGTCTCAAGACGCCTCTGTACCCTTACCAGCGCCGATCGGCTGCTACTATGGTCCAGCGGGAAGCGCAGCCTGCGCAGGTGCTGGATCCACGGCTGCAGGCATTTAAGAGCCCTAGGGGCGAGGAATACTACTACGACAAGGAAGAGGGGAGCATATTTCGGGAGAAGAAGATGTATTCGGAGGCTTGTGGAGGTATGCTGTCTGTGATTCTGAGTGAACGGCTGTCTGACTGGGTATAGGTATCCTTGCGGAAACCATGGGCTGCGGCAAGACACTCATTTGCTTGGCTGTAATCCTGGCAACGCGTGGTCATTTCCCCGAAATACCGCTCGAATACCAGGAGATGAAGAACCCCGTCCGGCAGGTGACGGGGAGTCTTGTTGAGATGGCAGCGGCGACAGCAGGCCGCTTCTCACTGCCTTGGAAGACCCACTTCGACACTCTGGGATACTACGGCACGTTCTATGAGCGATGTGTTATGGAGTGTGAGAGGCACCGTGGCGCCTATACTATACCTCCACCACCGGCAAGGCACAAAGGTCGAAGTGGAGTGGCGTATCCTAGACCGCCGCCTCAGCAAATCCGTCTTTGTTCGGGGACGTTGATCATCGTGCCCCCTAATCTGGTCAATCACTGGCACAGTGAAATTTTGGCACACACCGATGGCTTGAAGGTGCTTGTCCTACGGAACAGCTCTGACAAGACTCCTTCACCAGATGAGCTATTGCAGTACGACATCGTTCTATTTTCGCGAATCCGCTTCGAAAAGGAGGCGGGCGAGGTGGTCAATAACAGACGTATTTCGTTTACGCCCGAGGAGTCCCCTTTGACGAAACTTCACTGGCTTCGAATCATCGTCGATGAAGGCCACAATGTGGCTGGTAGTGGTAATCGGACCATCATGATGCATATTCTGAGTCAGCTTCACATTGAGCGTCGATGGATAGTATCTGGAACCCCGTCCAGCGGGCTGTATGGGGTAGAAGTCAGTCTGGCTTCGCAGGAGACGCATACTAGCGAAACTGATCTAACTGAGGCTACTACAACTGTACTTCGAGGTAGAAAGAAGACAGGGAACGCCTTAGACAGTGAGCTCAAGGACCTCGACAAGCTACGATACATCGTGATTGACTTCCTCGACCTGAAGCCGTGGTCTAACCCTCGAACAAGCGACCCGGCTAATTGGACAAAGTACATTAAGCCCATCGGCGAAGATGGCAGGCGACGGAAAGCACAATCTCTCCGGGCTACCCTACAGAGCCTTGTCGTGCGACACCGTCTGGAGGTCATTCACAGTGAGATTCCTCTACCGAGATTGCATAACAAGGTCGTCCATCTGGAGCCTACCTTCTACGATAAATTGAACTTGAATATGTTCATCTTCGGCCTGGCTGTCAATGCCGTCACTTCGGAGCGCACCGACCAAGATTACATGTTCCATGCTCGGAACCGCAAGCACCTTAGCACTGTAATCAGCAATCTTCGACAAGCAGGGTTTTGGTGGGCTGGCTCGGACGATATTGCTCCCACGATCGACGTTGCCCTGAAGCATTTAGAATTACGCGGGGACAAGACAAGCAAAGAGGACATAGAGACATTACGCGAAGGCGTTCGAATTGCACAAAAGGCCCAAGCATCTGGATGCTGGCGTGCTTTCAAGAGGATGCATGAACTCGGTGTTTTCATCCAAGACTTTCCCGAGCACGCTCGAAGTATGTGGGCCATTGACTCTTCGGTAGCGCACCAAGAGCCACTTCTGCTGGGCATAACCCAGGCGCGCCATGCACAGAAGTTTATCACGAAGCACCTGAACACGTACGACCCAGCAGAAGGGCTTGCCGGTGCAGGGATCAAGGTCCGTCGCGAGCTCTCAGGGCGAGAAGGGGACAATCTGAGTCCGAAGAAGACCACTCCAGACAAACCTGTCAAGAGCAACTCACCCAAAAAGACATACACTAAGGGACTATTCAAGACCCTACCGGAGGATTCCCCTCTTACGCACACCAAACTAGTCGCCACAGCCTCAGCAAAGCTAACATACCTCCTGGACCAAGTGTCCGAGCTGCACAAAACCGAGAAAATCATCATCTTCTACGATAACAACAACGCCGCCTTCTGGATAGCCGAAGGCCTCGAACTCCTCGGTATAGACTTCCGCATCTACGCCGGCACCCTGAAACCCACTATGAGAGCAGAATATCTCGCCCTATTCCGCGAGTCGGAAGAGGTGCGCGTCCTCCTAATGGACCTGCGCCAGGCATCGCACGGCCTGCACATCGCCAACGCCTCCCGAGTCTTCATAGTAAATCCCATCTGGCAACCGAACGTCGAAAGCCAGGCCATCAAGCGAGCCCATCGAATTGGCCAAACCCGCCCCGTGTTCGTCGAGACCCTCGTCCTCAAAGACACTCTCGAAGACAAGATGTTGAAGCGCAGAAAAGCAATGACAGACAGCGAGATCCACCATGCCGAACGAGACCTCCTAGACGACAGCACCATGAGCTCCATCATCCAGAACGAGCGTTACATCCCGATGCCTGAAACAGAAGACTCTAGCTTCACCCGAGGCGCGTTCCTGAAACATCCAACTGGCCTATTCGACCGACACAAGCTTGCCGTTGCCGATGACGAGGAGGAAGGAAGAATAAGCAAGCCGGGACTACCGGATCACAGCAGCACCCCGCGGAAGCGGAAACATGTCAGAACTGTGGATATAGACAAGAGCACCGACGAGCCGGATCTCGTCACGCCGAAAAGGCGCAAGTCCACGTCCCCTGGTCTGGATTTTCTCTCGCCGCAGGGCATCCTCATGACACCTCCGCGAGCCTGGAGTCGGTCTCCGCGGACTTCGCCATTTCCGGTGGTAGAAACGGATAGTGCTCACGCGAGCACGGACGGCGCAGAAGCAGGGAAGAAGAAGAGGGTATCTTTGTTTGGAGGGGCGTGTCCTGATTGACACAACAAATCAAACATGGCTGCTGTACTTAGATGACTATAAATGAACTCAATTATACCCTGATTCTCACATAAACATAAATAGCGAACAGCGTAGCTACCGCATATTTCAATCCCTTATGGATCTAAGAACCTGACTGCGATAAGAAAAAAAAACCACACCCCTCCGATCAGATAAGACTGCCCCACCCCCTGCCCCACCATGCCTATATCACATCACGTCTTCTCACCTTCATCATTGCTTCCTCCCTCCCTCACTTCCCAATTCCTCCCCGCAAGCCTCCCTCCCCAAAATGCCACCTCCT